ATCGTATTACCTTGTTCGTAAAGCGCACTATAATTAAGATGCACTTCATCTAAACGCATGTATTTCTCTGACGCCGTTTCAAGCGGCCTACTTGTAACTCTGTTTATTCCGCGGCTTATATGTGACCGCGCTCTACAAATTGTCTCACGCCGCTATGGCAATTACCGGGCAGTCATGGTCACATACTGTCCCGGCTATGACACGGTGCCACGTGTTACGCCCACACTTAACATTGTCATGGACCACGCAAACAGCGGTCAAGACGAGGAACGGCAACTACGTACGCTGTTGTTTCGGCCGCCGACCTGCGCCTGCGTCGCGCATGTGCCACCTGCGCCAGAGCTTCCAGCATGAACCTGCGCCGCATGCGCCTGAGCCAGCGCTGCCCGACTGTATCCGGGCCGCCCCCGCCAGCGTCACCTGCCTGCACATGCGCCTCATGCACCAGCATCGCCGCAACCTATGCCTGCGACGCCTGTGCTGCGGAGCGAAGGGAGCATATGCTAACCGCCCCGCCGCAGGCATGCTCCACCGGCACGGCGAAGCCCGACCTCCCTTCCACGCAGCCAGACGAAGACGACGACTCCAGGGAGGACGACCGGCCGTGGCTAAACCCGGAGGCGCAGATACACGCCAGATCCGCAGGGCCAAACAATACACAGGACCATTACAACACGAATTCCAGGTTGAGGAGTGCAACTCCCCCTCAGACTTCAACCCCGAACACATAGCCGCCATGGCCCAAGGGTCGGCCGCGACGGCCATCTTGTCTGCCGCGACGGCCATCTTGTCTGCCGCGACGGCCATCTTGTCTGCCGCGACGGCCATCTTGTCCGCCATGACGATACCATCAGCCCCCTCACCCGACGCATCCGACGAGGAAGTCGACCACTGACGTCAACTGAACTTCACGTCGCTTCACTTCGCAGCCACAGAACAGCGAATATCCCCTAGTAGTTTGGTACGGTGTGCGGCCGCGTGGTCGAGGCCCACACCAGTAGTCAATCACGTAACCACAGTAGTAGTTATGTATTATGTATCGAGTATTATGTATTATTCATTAGGTATTTAGAAAATTACCATGACCGGTTAGGGCGCACCCACGAACAGCCAGCCAGGAGACTGGCGTCGATGTCCACTTCTGAACATCGGTTTAGTGGGGGGAGAAGTGTAACGCTGCAAAGCGTTACAGGGCATGAGAGCTACTAATTCCCCCACCGCCGACGCGATACGGAGGAATGTAGTGCCTAGATATCACTGACGGCTTGATATCTGGATATTGCGCGCTGCCCATGAGGGCCCAATTAGAGCAGCGGCTTCATATCTGAATAAAGCGCGCTGCCTATGAGGGACCAATTAGTGCAGCGGCTTCATATCTCGATATTAACGCGAAGGCATGGCGCATGCCTCGCGCATACGCCGATGCTGAGCTTAGCCGGTTTAGTGACCTCAATCGGTTTATAATTGGCTTGTTGATGCCGATGTCGAGCGTCCTAGTGACCTTAATCGGTTTATAATTGGCTTGTTGATGCCGATGTCGAGCGTCCTAGTGACCTTAATCGGTTTATAATTGGCTTGTTTATGCCGATGTC